TTCAAGGAAACTTGTCAGTAGAAGCCAGACTTAATAGCAGTGCTTTGAAGTTTCAATGTTTATTTTTCAGCTTAAAAAGTGTGCATAAGTATCTGCAGAACAAAAAGAAATGGCGGGACGAATTATGAATAACTTGTTTTCTATATATATTTATGAATGGTACAAATAAATAGGTACTAATAAATAAGCTTTTCCGTAATTATTTTGGCACGTCGTACTTACTGCTCTATGAAAAATAGACTTAGTGAGGGGTGGAAAATTGTACTGCATTTTAAATAAGCACATTTACGGTTTTCATAATTAGGTTCCACAATGCAAAGTACTACAGGTTCTTAATATATTAAAATAATAAATGTGACTAGGACCCTTCTTCTGTCTTGAGCTTTTGCCGACCTCGTATAATTACGACCAGAGGCAAGAACCAGAAACGCCTTAAAAATCCAAAGCACGAAATTAGTTTTTTTTTATATGGCAGCCATATTTTGGCTAAGCTTAATCGGAGCCAACAAAACTGGAATATTTTAAGCAATTGAGAAAAAAAGGAATCAAATTAATGGATTTGATTAATTCATCCTTCTCGCTGAAAACAATTTGTTGTCATGAACGAAACCCGAAATACGAATCGTCTAGTTAGCAGCCCCGCTGATATAAAACAAGATCTTTGACTCGATTTCCTATTTATATAGCGATACTACCGACTTACATTTTTATCTATTCAGGTAACTGAGTTTATTTTAATTAACATAGATGATATAATGGCGTGAGATTTTTGCACAACTGCTTCTGTTACGAATGTTTGTATAACTGTTCGTTAATGAGTTAAAACGTACTATCATTATCGATATCTATCGAGTTCTGGAAGCCTTAATCCAACTGCCCCATTTAACGAGTGTGTGCCATGTTCAGTGTTCAATCAATAAAAAAAAATGTAGAGATGGTTTTTCGTTGTTAGCTTGCAAGTCTCGTTAAAGCTTAGGGTATAACGTGACGTTTATGCAAGCTAAAACAATAATTAACTGTGTCACGATCGATAACTAGTTTCGTGTTCCACAGTTCGGCTTGTACATTATTTCGCAACGTGAGTGACCTTTCGTGCGGCGGCGGCGAATCGCGCGAATTTATCGATTGCTTTTATCTTATCGGTGGCTATCGCATGGTCGCCGCACGAATGAAGGAGTCAACGCAAGCTGCGCACCTAAGGACTTGGTACCTAGGCAGCTATGTACCGCGCATGCGGCTGGAAGGCGTGTGTATTGGGCGCCCGCGACTCCGCCTCCTCGCGGATTGCGCGCAATTTGCAATGAATTGTGCATGCAAAAACGATTCAAGATTTACTATCCATTCTGTATACAACCTCTTTTCAATACCTACAATTGGTGGTATGTTTTCATGCGCTGAAGTTTTGAATGCTTGTGCTTGAATGTAGAGCGGGTAAATTGATAGATTAACGTCCTTCTTTTAGTTTACGATTTGTCAAAAATGATTCAGGATAATATTTTTCACATCGTTCATTAAAATGAAAACTATGAATGTTATGATACAAATGTGAATACCAAAACAAAGTTATTGATAGCATGTGTACTCTTGACCCAATTAGAAAGGTCATCCAGTTTCTTGTGCTTTAACATTTCACAGCATATTAATTGATCTTATCGATTAATTATAATGTGATTTATAGAATTGCTATCTTCAATGTGTTAGCCGAAAATTGCGTTATTAGTTTACTTTACTCAACCTAATAAATAAAAAATAATAAAATTCACACTAAAGGCATAATGACTTCAATTTGCTCTATAAAGACGTCGAGGTATCGTACGGAAAAGCGAATTTTTTCGCAGGTTTTTCACTTTATTAATTACCTAACTAAATTATGTTTGAACGCACATAAATCTGTACAATGACTTCAATTAACATCATTCATCACCAATTAACTGTTGTAAGCATTTTAGTTTTAGAAGAAACATTGTGTGAGAGGAAGTCGGCTAGTCTTAATCGATAGCAACACAGAACGAGTCCGTCAACATTCGCATGTCACAAAATTCATATCAACGGTTTCTATGTGTAACGATTATGAATCGCTTATGTATTCAAAGGTATGTGAAAGCAGTTAGAACTCGTTTACCGCACAATCCACCTGCTATATAATCCGCGCTGTTTCGCAACTCACTTGGTATCTATGTCAAAGCGTTAGAGCGAGAGGGCCACATATAGCCAGCGGGAGCGACAGAGAGGTGAGAACGGATTCTGCGAGAGGACGGAGGGGCCGCGGTAGGTACTCCGTTATCTGTTTGCGAATATACCTACTTGCGCAACGTACAACTGCGAAAATAGGTTTCGATTTGGCGGCAGCAAAACTTCATTTTTAACAACAATAGTAGTCGAAAACTATAGAGTTTTTTAGAGTAATTTTCATTGAAGTAAGACGCGCTGACTATTAGCTAGTGGTCAAAAACGAAACAGCCTTCAAAACCGGCTCAATCGATAAGCATTTAATTATTAAATTGCGCGTTAGATACACTGTACGCAGCGGAAGAAATTCATAAAATGCGGAGTTGTTTACATCATTTTGTGTGGGGATATGCGTGTAAGTGCCTTGAAATGCCACAAGACATCTGTTGTTTATGATGTTTCAGCTAATTTTTACTTAAATTATATTTTTTTAGAATCGTAGTTTTTGATGGTTTTATTTTGTGCAATAGCAATATTTATAGAATTTTAGCATAGGCCAAAATGTCAGGTTTCTCATTTATCTTACACTACTGTGCAATGTCAATATGTTAACTTCTTCATTAGCAAGACTGATATCCAGATAACTATTTCTAGTTTGTATCTTACTGACCATTCTTGGTTTATTCTGTGGTTGAACGATGTAATACATTTTGTGTGTTTCGGCAATCAGTAGATGAGCAATTGGGTTTACATGCCGTTATCAGCTGATATAAAATCGCAGTCCAGTCACGTAGAAGTAAACATGTGGTTACGAAAGCGCGGAACAGGAGCCGAATTCGCGCTCTAGTCGGCGCCTGCGCAGTTAACATGGCCGCCGAGTCAATGGCCTCCACGCTGCGCTTGCGCAACTACACGCGCGAATCTCAACAGCAAAACAAAGTCTTCGGCGCGCCAGTGTGCGTGCCCACCTCGTACACACGACTCGTTTATTACGTTTTAGCGGACCAATGCAACTGTGTGCATCACGTCTGTGTGCGTGAAGGGAGCTAGTTTGGGAGCGGTCGGCAATGCTGATTAATTTAATGTTAAATAGCCGCGATGAATTTTCCTCAATTAAAACTTTGGGGGATACTGTACGACTTGTCAGTAATGAATACAAATTAATAAATTACAGCGGATACATGGTAAACAGAGATAATTTGCATGTACACAAAATGGGGATGCTGCGAGGTCAATAACACTCATATTTAAACAATAAGTTCTTAAAATAATCATTATTATAGTCTATTATTGTTGGAGACCAAGCGATTATAGCTAACACATAGGTACCTACAAAGTCTATGTTAAAAATACATCTTAAGAACCAGAAGCTTAACAAATGTTAACAGTGCCAAGAGTAGTAGGTACAACTTCTCCTGCATACTCCCCACGGTGATATCACGCCGTCCTAAATTGTTTGATTACAAATAATTTTGGCCAATGCGCGGGCCCCGGCCGGCCAAATAGGTCAAGCCAAGCATTGCATGAATCAGTAAGAACGTCAACTGAGGTACCGTTAGCGACGTGCTGATAGTATCAAGCGACCGCAATAACCATATTTTTGACATTTAATTTCACGTATTTTACTTACTATACGCCAAATAATGAAATATTTAAGATAGCTACAACAGATCTTTGAAAATATTTTGGATACAGAGCAACCAATGACCGCATAACAGGCATATTTACCTGAAGGCTAAAAATTACGCACGTGTTTTTCAACTAGCTATAGCTACAACTTAACATTCGTGAACCGACTATCAATATGACCATGAGATAGCTGACACAATAACAAATAATAGGTAATGGTGAATTTAAAAATGTATATGTAAAGCGAATATAAAAAATTATGAAATTAATAATTAATTTCTAATAAGACGTAGCAGTTGCTACGAAGTGCTACGAGCGGGCGCTACGAGAGTTGGTCATTTTGCGCAATACTTAACGATTACAAACAAAGCACGGCCCGTAGCAGCTGAAAATGGGTCAGCTACGGAATTTGCATGAAAGTCTGCTACTTTTCCACAACACGTTCTCGCGTGAAGATTTTAGAGATACTCACCGTTGGTTCTTTATTAGGAGAAAATATTTTTTGCTAGGCCTACAATACCGCCTTTCAAATTGATAAATTTTAACACGATATAAGTTTTTTGTAAATACACAATACGATAAAATATCTATGTTTTATTGATAATAAATAACGCATGTTAATATGTGTCTAACACCTAAACTAAATATTTTATTGATGTCTAAACTGATAACAACTTTAATCATTTATTACGCTACTTGCAATGGCACTTTTAGAGTTTAGTTTAGCGAATACCTAATTATAATGATTAATGTATCGTTCGTGTTTCAGACCCAAGTTCGGCGGCGAGTCAAGGTGCAGAGTAGGTTATTGAAGTTTGTTTCCGCATATATTCACCTTCGCCTTTCAAAACCTTAGGGCTTTGGGTTCCATGGTCTCTAAAATTGGCGAGATGTCCACCCTACGTCCAATGTGATCTTGTTATTGGTATGTAGCTGTTCGTTTCTCAAACTTGGCGTTCTTTTTAGTACGGTGAGTTTTGGGAAAACTGTAGATAGATATTAAAATTTTTGTATAACTTTTTATTTAATTTGCGAAGTATAAATATCATTACCAACTTACTTCATAAGCAGTAGAGGTAAGGCACTTAAACGATTGGTGCCTGATGTTGTCATTGTAGTCAACATCGAAAGAGCTGATAAGTAGGATTTTTCAGGAGTCGTTTGTGACTCCTACGGAACACTGCCCTTAAATGGCGACTCACTTCTGCCCGTCTCGTTGTGCATGCGAATCGGAAGTGTTCGGCAGAGGTCGGCGCGCGCGCCTCGGAGCGACACGTGTAACGCTTGCGCAATGCAACCTTGCGCTCGCGAATAATGTGGAACGCCATCGATCCCATTACAATTTTAGGTGTGGACTTTTTTATCAGACGACCAACTATACAGATATAAGTTATAATTAGCTGATGCAAGTCGTATTGATACTTTATTCTTTTAAAAAAATTGACCGACAAGTTCTCTTCTTTTTTCTGTCAGTTGCATAGGAACTTCTTGCATACGGCAACCTCATACAGTATAAGTTATAATTATTTCCAATGCAAGGATCGTATGGATACGTTAACTTTTGAAAAACTCGACCGGCAAGATCCTCTCTTGTTTTTTTTCCAGTTGCATATAGAGACTGCTACACAGCTAGAAGCTGCAGTTATCTACATACATACTCATTACAAGACACAATCTTCTATACTATAAGGGAGAGTCCGCTAATTTGGACCAGTTTTTTTCAATCCCATTTTACACATAGTTTTCTTTTGTTTTTGCTAATGTCCATGGTATATGATAAAAGATACATTATTCAACTAACTATTTCATAAGTATTAATTAACATGATTGTTGTATATTTAGCACAAATCAACAAAGTACGAGTTCAGAGCTTCGGTCCAATTTAGCCAACCGGTTCGATAATTTGTACCACAGGGTTACTAAATTGGATTTCAATAAATTTCAAGCCTATAAAAAAACTATNGTAAGGTGTTTTAATTTGTGTCACTTGGATATGATTTGTATTAGAAAGTGTTGTGAGTGTGACGCTTGAAGGGAAGGAAGTCGACCTAACCTAACCAACTGCGTATTTCTATACTATGTAGCTGGAAATTGTGGCGGGAGCTCTTTGGCGCGCTGTCTTCGGCGAAGAATTGCGCGCGCAGATTTTGACAGCGCGAAATACCTACTTTAGCAGAAATACCAAGCCTTAATGAGTTACATTATGTACTCACGGCTTGACATTTCGGCTGCGATGCTGCAGCCGTGTCTTACTATTTTAATACACGTAATAGGTGTCAAAAACTGCAAGGAGTTTTGCGCGGGAACATAGATGTCAGAATACAGCAAGAAGTTTTGCAAAGGTAGGATATCAAAATTGTACGAGTCAACTCGCACATTTTTTATTACTAAGTAATTTATTGTTAACTTGCATTTTATTCATGCACTTTGGCCAGCTACGCCTGACCTACATTTGGGACTTTGGTAGTTTAACATTTTATAATCAGTGCAATAAAGCATTCGGCAGCTAAAACACGTCTTTCAATAAATCCCATCAGCGGTGATACGGCGTAGTTGTCTGACATCTTGACATCAGTCTTACTTTGACACCACATCTTACAAAAATTAATTGAATATCTTCAAAGCCGTGAACTTTGGCCTTCTTCTTCTTCTTTTCGTGTCGACAACAAACCTACAGTGTCAGCCCAAAACTCCGCCACGATGGCGGTTGACGGGTGGCGTTGTCAGCAGCACTCATCAAATCCTCCTGAGTGCAGTTGCTTGGACACTCAGGGCACGACATCAGGTGCTTCATCGACTGGGGAACAAAACCGCACCTGCACTCCATGTTTAAGCCATCCAAGAATCCTCACCTGACTAGATTGTCCTTACTTTGGCCTTATAAGGAAGCTCAAAGTTGCACAGAGTGCTATGGAGAAGGATATGCTCGGTGTTTTTCTATGAGATCGAAATGAGGAGATCGGTAAACCAAGTAAAGTCGCTGACATAGCCCGACGGATTAGCAAGCTAGAGTGGCAATGGACAAGGCATATAGCACTGGTTGTAAATGTTTGTTTCCTTTTCTAATGCCGACAAAATAGAGTTTGGTATCATCATCAGCACAGGACATCCACTGCTGAACATGGGCCTCCTCCAGTGATTTCCAGCTCGACCGGTTGGAAGGGGCCTGCATCCAGCGCCTTCCTACAACCAGTATAAGGTTATCTGTCCAGCTGGCTACCTTTTGGGTGGACTGCGCTTGACGGCTGTAGCTGTAACTACTCATGTGTTACATTACAATGTCGCATTTGAGTCCCGGTGCACCTTCCACTGTAGCGTGACGATAGTGGACAGGCACGCTAGCTTCTGGCAACCCTGGTTGCTGTTTCAAACAATTACACGAGACAATTACAGGAACGAGAGGTGGGAATGGTCCTGTTTAGGGTTGCCAAGCGTCCAGCTTTAGCCGGACATGTTTGGCTTTTTACGGTCTTGTCCGGCCTGTCCGGCTTTTTATTTTGACCTGCCACGCCAGGCGAAAGTCGAGCCACAGAATAATATGGACGCACGCACGCATCAGGACGTTGGGCAACCGATGATGATACGATGACAGTACTAGAGTGAGCTATGACACTGATTGCACCCCCCCCCCACATGTCCGGCTTTTAGGGTAAAACGTCAGGCCAAATGAAGCACAGAGTCCGGCTTTTGTGTTTTTGGCAATCCTGTTACCTCGTGGCTGCAGCGTGGCGATGTGTTGACGGCGCGTGGCGTCAACCAGCACGTCGCGCAGTAACGCAGCCATTTCTGCGGCGGAGAGGCGCGCGAGTTTCTGGCGGCCCTGGTTGCGTGGCGCCGACAGCGCGGGATTCACTGGTAAGAATACCACGCCGCAGCGCTCCAAACCCGGCGCGCTTGTCTGCCATACTGCACGAACAAGAGCTAAGCTAGACCATTACTGAGATAGAGCACTGCACACAACATGACGTGACAATGTAAGTTAGCCCGCAAACCGCGCTCGACTGTCGTACTGGGCCCTTGCTGCTCAACACGTAGGCAATTTGGCCTACATCCATTATGTGGGATCACAACCTCCACAAACATCTGGAGTGTTCCCCTCTGACGCTTAGTGGTCGATGCCTTGAGTGGTCGTTACCTTGCGTAGTAAAAACGCCCATTACGTCTTCCACGGGCTTGCAGCCGTATAGGGCGGGACTAATCATGGGACTCTTTCATTGCGCCGCCATAGATGTAATATGTTCCACAAAAATGTTTTATTAATTCAAAAAATACAGTAAGTTTGCTACCAAATACTCAATGAAATGAATAGAATAAATATAATATCTTATCAAAAATAGGATGTCAATGTAGTAGGTAGTGACTAAAGAAGGAAATTGCTTACTCGCTTCAGTCTCTCGTCGATCAATTTCGTCGTAGATATCCATTACCAATTCTTCGAATAGATGATTGGGGAGCTGCAAAATAATAAAATATTCTATTAGTTAGACCAATAGTTCAGACAGTAATGCTTCAACCACACCAACGCGTGCATATCGCCATCGCCGGCGCGATCATAGGGAAATGACAGGTCGCGTGAACTGTCATGGGTCGCGCGACCTGTCATTGGCCTTTGACGCGCCGGCGATGGCGATCTGCACGCGTTTGTGTGGTTGAAGTTTTACAGTTGCTGCTTTGCAATTTGAAACTTATCATCTCAAACATAAGACTTACCAGCTGTAATTTCCCCCTAGCTGCCTTCGCGACGTCGGTCATCTCATGCGTATCGTGAGCGCGGGGCACGATGTAATGGCGGCCGGAGACGTGGTCGGGCTTCTCGCCAGTCAGGAAGTAGATCATGCGGTCGGTCGCTTCGTAAACCAGCTCTGTCATACGGTCAGCGAGCTCGGTGTGCCCGCCTTGCCTGCGAACGAAGATCGAAGGACTCTATTTTGAAATCACTAATCGGCTCGCGCGGCACGCTGATAATCCTACTCACCCTGCTCTTGAGTGAGCAGGATGTCGAATTTGCCGCGCGAGCAAGTTCGCCCAGTCTGGACGCACCATAAAGCTAAATGTAAAGGCTAGTTTGCTTTATATTCGATAGCAAAAAACTCTCTGTATGTTTTCTAAAAACCAAATCTTTAAATTATTATTTGTTTCAATCAAAATAACACAAGAGTATGGAATTAAAAAAAATCACAATAAAATGGCGTATAAAATAAACTGAGTGTCTGATTGAAATAATTCTCGTAAGTAGGTCAACAGAAGAAATGAAATTACACCTACTGGTTTATGCATTTTTATTGCTAACTTTTGAAGATGTCTAGACAAAGTGGGCGAAATTGCCTTCAAAGTCAATAAATTACAATATTAACAAGGCCAATTCAAGGTTTGCAACAGCAAGTGCACAGTTCAAAACACATCATTTTGAGTATCTTCATCCTACTAATATAAAGTTTACCTTATTGTAAAAATAAACGCAATGAAACATACTTGAATCAATGTATACTTTTATTTAGTAGTTTTTCTATTATGTCACCTAGAACAAAATATCAAATGTTTGAGCATGCAATGATGAATGAATTCAGTGACCCCAATTGTGTCAAATGTCCACCAAGTAATTGAGCAATTATGCAGCCAGCCCGCCAGCTCACCTCAATTAACATTTGCTCTTCTTGATTGGATAGCTCTTACAATGACATTAGTAGTATACTCGTAGTAAAAGTTTAAAGCTAAGTTACAAAGTAGATAAAACATTTTAAATTTATTTCAACTTTAAAGATGCATAATATGTATAAAATGTATATGTATACCTATTACACAACACTGCATACCTAATTTGATTCATGAGGCTATACAGGGTGTTAGGTAAATGGGTATATGAGCCGACACTAGCCCATGTTAACATGGGCATATAAATGGTATGGCGAAGTCAGAAATTTGATATCATCATTTTTTTTTTTAAATTTTCATACATAATAAATTTTATAAAATCCGATTTGTATGAAAATTTAAATAATTAAAATGAAGATATAAATTTTCTGACTTCACCATACCATTTATTTGCCCATGCTAACATGGGCTAGTGTCGGCTCATATACCCATTTACCTAACACCCTGTATAGGTACACAAAATAATTTCTGTGGTTTACCTGTTTCGTCATTCAAATGAACATAGAAGATTTATGTTATACATTTTAGGCTTACTCATATTCATATTAAATATTTGTTTATTTTCGATTTACACAAGAATGTTTAGTCAAATTCGAATGAAAGACACATACGCCATGACTTTTGTGACATGAAAAACGACATGCCGCGGCTATTTAGATATTTTATTTCCTATTCCAGGAATGGCTGGTCGATTTTGGATGGTCTTTGGCATACATAGATACCTAGTACAAGATGTATCGCCGACATATAATAAGCCGATAAGACAGCCTCGTATCTCTTCAAGTGTAGTGTGTCGAGGTTTAAAAGCATCTTCCTGTCTCTAGTGTAGTTTTTCGCAGCTGAAAGGCAGCTAGGGCCTCTAATAGTGTCGTGTGTCGCGGCTGTAAGGCAGGCCGTGTGTCTAGTCTCGTATGTCAAGGTCAATTTATCTTTATTGCATTCCATGTTGTACATAAGGTCAACAATCTATAGTCTCAAACATAGACCCGGTTTGGGCACAGCAACATTAATATTACGAACTTCAGAAATATTGAAAAATCTATCTTCGAATCTGGTGATCATAAGGTTTGAAGACAACTTGGTGTATCTAGTCTCTAAGGCAGATTGAATGTCTATGTCAATTATCCTGCTTTCGCCTCCGAGATTTATTTTACCATGTAGTAGTACCCCTGTACGACAACCCAATCCGCACACAATATTCAGCGTAGTAGTATTAAAAAACAAAAGAGCGGGCAACCCCACCCCTACCACGCTGTGGGCTCGGTGTCCGAGCGGTCTCATTCCTTTGTGCGCACGCGCAACGACCGCACGCAGTATAAGAAAAATGCTTAAGTGACGTCACCAGGACGTTTTNAAAATCCTTTGGTAAAGTTCCATACAACTTGATGTGGTACAATTTACCCGACTAGGTGATAGTGCTTTTAAAAAATCGGTATAAAATAGAGCTTATAAATACCGAAAAATGTTTCAAATAATTGTAATCCACACTAATTTACGCTTCTAAATAATATATTAGAAACACCCTGTGATGAAATTTAACAAAATTACAAACTAAACATGTATTGTCAAAAGTTACTTGAAAACAATGAAAAAATACTTTTCAAAATAAAACACACGTGTTTGTTGTCACGGCAAAAACCACATGGCCGATATTAATTGATTTTAGTTGTGTATCGCTGAGTGTTGCAATTACAGACATTCAATAAATACTTTACGAAATATGAGGGTGGTACAATTTACCCGGCGGTACAATATACCGAACTCTCCCCTAATAAATCTGTAGAGAGTTCAATTCTGTACATGAAATATATTTTCAAAATAAGTATCAGAGGGTGATTAGTGATCGATACTGTGTGCCTACCATGAGTTTACGTTAGGTGTGCTCGCTAGCGACTGCGTAAAAAAATTACCTTAATTGTATGACATATTGTGCAGCGCCCCTAGCGGCTACTTTCAAGAAACAAAATCTTCATAGAGATTTTTGACGTACTCGCTAGCGAGCACACCTAACGTAAACTCATGGTAGGTACACTGATGCCAAAAATGCAATCAATAAAATTTTTGTCTGTCTGTCTGTCCGTCTGTATGTTCCTTATAGAAACAAAAACTACTCGACGGATTTTAACGAAACTTGGTACCTACAATTATTCTTGATATTCCTGGGCAGGTTATAGTATACTTAGGAATTCCCACGGGAACGGGAGTTAGCGGGAAAAAACATTTGTATGAAAAAATCTAAACCGCGTAAGATAGATGAAGGGGGTAAAACGGGATCCACGCGTACGAAGTCGCGGGCGGCCGCTAGTTCAGAATAATAAGATATTTTATTACTATATTTTCCTCTTCCCAAACCTCTACACAAACATAAACTAGGCACTTTAATTTGCAATGATATTTCAAGGAAAATGTGTGTAATTTATTTATTTAGGTGTTTTATAGCCGTCATTTATTTGTGTTTACTTGCTGTGATAATTGTGTTATGCGTGTACTTATAGTATATTGTCAATGTTGTACTTGAGCGTAAGGACTTCACGCGACCTCACTGAAAACGCCGGGCCAATGGCGGAGCGATACGATAAGAGTACTACAGAAAATCGGTCAAGTGCGAATTAACCTTCGCCAGATTAGCATCCGGTGCCAAAATATGATTGGGCGCGACGGCTTCTGAATAGATAGCTGCGACGCCGATTATTCTGAGAGGTATTTGTGTCATGTTGATAAATAACTTTATGGGATTGTAGAGTGCTTTACCGATCCGCAAAATGTTATTTTGAGAGTAGGTACACAAGCAAGTTTCCTGTTACTTCGTGATTGGGCTATGCCAGTCCTCCAATCACGTAGTTAAGTAATTAAGTAGGTACATGAATTCCTTACCTCCTAGTCATAATCATTTATGGTGCCCTAAAGTTAATTTCATGATTTTTGTGTTTTATTGCAGCCTGGTTTCTTTTTCTATCTGTTCATTTTGAAGCTAATACATGGCTCCTAAAATCAAAGTAGGTAACTTAAAATGGTATAAAACAGTAAATTACTAAAATTAATCTTTAGTCTAGATAATGATAGTAAGTATAGCTTTTTTAAATCGTCAGTTACTCAATGTATGCAAATTGTAAAACGGTGTTTACTTTTATAATTTGTACTATAATACTGGCTGTAGATCATAGGGCCTTGCTGCCGACAACGGAGGCCGAGACCTTCTGTCAGCCCGCGGTAGCATTGACAGCGCCCTTATGCAAATCGTCTTTGCGCGTGCTTGCCTCAGCTACTACCGGCCTGCGATGATATGAGTATCTTTGCTATTAGAACCGTCAGATGCCACACTTATGCAGTGTATTCCAATTGCAATAGGATCGGGTTTTGATCGTTGTTTTGTAATACGGGCCTAGTACCTATCTTTCGCACACTTCTATCGTGTTTACCAGCTCTCTAACATGATCATCATGACAGCAAGTTTAGGTTTGATTCCAGTGTGCCTACCATGAGTTTACGTTAGGTGAGCTCGCTAGCGGATACGTCAAAAAATTCTATGAAGATTTTATTTCTTGAAAGTAGCCGCTAGGGGCGCTGCACAATATGTCATACATTTAAATGTCATTTTTTTACGCAGTCGCTAGCGAGCACACCTAACGTAAACTCATGGTAGGCACACAGAACCTAGCTTAAACTACATTCACTTTTAAACATAGATTAAGGAATTTATTGACTATTTTTTTTAAATTAGACCAGTCGCGGGGTCTATGATTTTGATTGCTTCTAGTTTGAGAGTTGTTTTGTTATACGGATCTAAGTGTCTTGAGCCTTGGGCTATTAGGACCTTCAGTTTGCACACTCAAACCATGTTTACAGCTGCTCAAACACGATACTCATCCAAATAGCAAGATAATTTAAATTCACGGATCACATAGACAGCACCACAATGTCTTGATGTGAGTAAAAAATTTACAGAACTTTTTTTGTGTGTAATTGAAGCACAGTCATTTGTTTTAAAATTCACCTGCTTAATTTCATTCAAAAGTGCATTAACTTTATCGATATTCATTTCTGTCATGTTTCTTTAAAATTCGGACCCTGAAAAGAAATCGTCTGATGTGAAGATTATAAAAAACATCAACTGTTTTAATCAAGACCCATATCTGTTTCATTCCATCCCATTGACCTCATCAATTTGCTGATGACTATCAAGCGAACAATTTACGAAACCAGCCGTTGCGAAAGCGAGAAGTGTAGCCAACTGTTCTATTGCTATACTTATGGTCTACATTCTTCGGT